AAAATTCTTGAAGTGCTACAGTGTAGCGAATTAAAGAATTTAGTGCCATCCTTCATATCCTTCAAGAATTTGACAACTTTGGAAGTATCTGCTTGTCATAAACTCATAAATTTAATTGAATACTCAACAGCCAAAAGCATGGTGCAACTCACAAGAATGAGTATAAGTGAATGTTATATGTTAAAAGAAATTGTGGCGTGTGTGGATGACGAAGTGAAGGATGGCATTGTCTTTAGCCAACTGAAGTATTTGCAACTTTGTGGTCTACCAAGATTGGCAAGCTTTTGCTCGGGGAGTTGCGGCTTTGAATTCGTATCTTTGGAAGAAGTAACTGTAATGGGTTGCCCAAATATGGAGATCTTCTCTCACGGGGAATGCAGCACCCCTAAAAAATTGCAATTGGTGAAATTAACAAAATATAGAAATGATTGGTTTTGGGAAGGCAACCTTAATAGCACCATACAAAAGATGTTCATAGAAAAGGTATGCATTAATTCAAAATATTTTCTTTTGTTTTTTGCCTTCCATTTTCAAGTTTTGTGAACTACTCCTAGCCCTTTCTTTGTTTAATTTATTTGGTAAAATGTAAATTTTTACCAATAACAATAACAAGTATACGAAGTGGCACTAATAATAAAGGTTGCTACCGGATCAAGTCTTGTGCAAAAGAATGAACTGAATGAAAGCAAATTATCAACACTTTGTTGGATAAATTTGTACACTGTGGCATCCATCCATGTCCATTCCGTGTACTGACATTTGAAATATGTATTGACTTGACATAACACTTGTGGATATAGCTATTGTAAGGAAGGAGATTATTTGTCTTGGGATCTATAGAACTCGTCCTGGGAACCATTAATTAGAAAACCTGTTCAAAGCAATTAACCATATGGTTTTGTGCAAGAGACCGATTTTTTTTAGTATGATTGTAGTTTTAGTTTTTAGTTTTGTTTTATTATAAATTTTGTAATTTTAAACAAAAAACTCAATTATTTTTGTGTGTTATTGTATCATATTATTATAATTATTAGAGAAATAAGAATAAAAATAGTTTTCATATCATTAAACTAATTTATATATTTTATTGTCAATGTTCAGTTTTAACAAATTGTTAATTTTTTATTTTTAATTTTAATTTTTAGTAGTTACAAAATTTATGAAAATCAAAATTAAAAAACCATAATCATACTAAACAGAAAATTAAATTCACAGAAAAAAAAATTTGAAATAGATTATTTGTCTTGGGATCGTAACATAATTTTATGGAAAATTTTAAGGTGATGCAGTAAATTTTTGATAAGCACAAATTGTAGTTTGAAAATTTTAAGGAATTGTTTTGTTTTTTTCCAATCTAATTTTTATCAAATAGACAGTTTTTTTTTCCCTTACTATTATTAATATAATTGCTATTGTTTGTTTCTTATGGTTTATCTAGCAATTAATCTATTGCCACTTGTAGGTTGGATACCATGGGTTGGAGAATTTGAAGTTTTCTGAACTTCCTGAGGTGATTGAAATTTGGAATCAGAAACCTCAAGAAATCTTGCCTTTCAAAAGTCTTAAATCTCTAGACGTTTGTAACTATAACAATTCGAAATACCTTCTAACCTCTTCCATGGCGTTGGGCCTTGTGCAACTCTATAGTCTGAAAGTCATAAACTGTGCCACGATGGAGCAAGTGATCACAGGAGAAGGAGCTGAGGAGATGTTTCCTAAGCTAAACTCTATTAATTTAGAGTCTTGTGCCAACTTGAAATATTTCTATGAGGGAAGTAGTAGGCTTGAGTTTCCACAGTTGATCAAAATTACCGTTGTTAACTGCCCAGTTTTTGCTGCTTTTACTTCTTCATTTTCAAGTGACCAAAAGAAAGAGGTGACAAGTAATGACACAGAAAGTGAAGAAAGGCTTGTCATCCCTATTCAACCTTTCTTCAGTGATAAGGTTAGTTATTTCGTAAAAATTATTTTATTTTAGTTTTGTAGAGTATTTGTTTCTTCAGTGTCAGTGCTGCTATTATCTCCACCTAATTACCTTTATTGATATATCAATTACCTTAAACAATTGTGCCTAAAAGAACCATAATTGCAGTAAATTCACAGTAACAACCAATAATAGAAGGCTCTCAAAAACTATTATTATAAAAT